TTTGGTCAATTTCAACTCTTTCCAGTCGCTTCCCGAAGCCTGGTAGTGGCTAGAACGACCTGCTACACCCAACATTTACACATACTAATCTATTGTACGACAGGTACTGGTCGGTCGCACGCCCTGCGGACTACAGGCGGCAGGGGCTGTCTCGCAAGCGGGTGAGGCTCGCCATCGTGGCCGTGTGGGTCACCTCAGCCGCCATCTGCCTCCCCTCGCTTGTGGGCTGGACAAACGACATGTACATTGGTAAGTTTTACGTGGCGTCGGTGGCGCAATGCCGTTAGAGCGTGGGATTTAGAACCAATAGGTCCAGGGTTCTATACTCACCGTGGCCCGAGTGTGGGGCAGCTGTAGGTCTTAGTTAGCCTCAAGCGCACTTTCAAATCTGAAATCGGCTAAGTACTGATGGATTGAAGTTTTGCTTTAGAGAGTCAGAGTGCACGAAAGATTTCTGGAGAAAAGGTATAGATATGCCAATGACAATGAACTTAATTGCATATTCACACCTTACACGGACCAAATTCACTAAGTTAGATAACTCAAGTATAAGGGTAGGATGATGAATTACTATGTTACATCTATATCTAGAGGGTCTTCTCCCTTTTTGAAACATTCGTACACAAATTTACACATATTTTCAATTATGCTTCTGGATAGACGTTCTCCGTCTATTGAGTGACCCTGTGTACATGTAAAACATTGTAATGTTCCAGATAACCAGCAGCTTCCCCAGTGTGAGTACACTAACAACATCGGGTACGTGGTCTACTCTACTGTGGGATCCTTCTACCTGCCGCTGGTCATCATGACAGTCGCCTACGTACGCGTGTGCTGGGCTGTCAAGGACAGGTAAAGAATGGTCACCATGATGTCTAAGTTCCCAAATCAAATACATGGAACACTTTAGATTGGAGTTTGATTTACAAATTAATAATTACTCTTTCTTGAACTTTAAGATCACGTTAAAGCGACACCTTAAAAAGCGTTCAACATTCAACTAGCTTAATTATCTATATTAGATAGTCTTATTTATGTTACTTTAGTTGCCATACTTTCTTGTTTTGCATAACTTAAGTGTTTCTTAGCTTCTCCATTAGATAGTTTCTTTTGCTACAATTTTGTCATTTCAAGTATTTTACTTAATTTGTGATTATTATCTTTTATGCTTAAAGGAGGAGGGTTTGTATAAGCCTAACAGGCTTACTCCCTTCTTCTGCACTGCGTTTTTATTCAATATACTCTACTTTGTATTTTGTATCTTCGTGCGAACAAAAAAAAACAGGATCCTGCGGAATCAGCGACGCAAGATGATCCCTTTGAAGACCCTCAACGGCAACAACAAGCGCAAGGAGGCGGCCATAGCAGAGGGAGTGTCCGGAAACATTTGTCACACCACAGACGAGAAAGACAGTGACGACCAGCTCGAAGAAGCGATTCAGGACGAAGAGAATCGGAACGTCTTGACCGTTCCCCCGGACGGCGTGCGCAGGACAGCGGGACGGAGCAGGCACCAACAACAGTCCGGAGGCACCGAGCTCCAACATGGCGGCAACACCCGGCTTTTGTGTTGTCGGAAAGAAAGCGACCCAGATGAAAACACAAAGAGCACAACGGAGCGCACCCAGAAGAGCACCCAGCGCAGTTGTGCCGAAAACGGCAAAGAAAAGCAGAATGGCCCAAACAATCTCCTCCTGAGCGCAGTTGTGCTACACGAAAGGTCGCTCCTGTCGTTCTCAGTAAGCTCAGCGACAACCAGTTCTCTGCCAAACCCCCACAGACCAGGGGATTGCTCGAAACTCGAGAAAAGACTGTCACTACCCGAGCTACGGGACACAAAGACTGTTGACCAACCCGAGTCCGGCGTCAGGCCGGAGGGAAACACACGCTCTATGGAGTACATGGTCATAGTCCACCCTCCTCCATCCGCGGAGGAACAAAACCAGCAAGAAGCTCCTCCTCCTACTTCCAAAAGCTTGACAACAACGCCAAAGAAGAAAGTGAACATGCTGTCTCCCCATGTCAGAAAACAGAGAGACTGCAGGAGGCGCATAGAGATAGAACATGACCTGGAAGACCTGACATCTACTTTCTCCAACATCGCCCACAACGACCTCATCATCAAAGACGACAAGGAGTTGTCCAAACTCCACCGCCTGGTCCACTGCCACAACCCAAACGTCCTGAGGAAGAGACTCATGGGCAACAGGGATAGACGGTTGATAGTTGTGGTGGGGATCATCATGAGCGTGTTCGTGCTCTGCTGGCTGCCCTTCTTCCTGACGTACGTTGTCCAGACGGCATGCGGCAGCTGCGACGTCCCCGAGCCGCTCTTCAAGTTCTTCACCTGGCTGGGCTACTGCAACAGCTCCCTCAACCCCGTCCTCTACACAATCTTCAACAGGGACTTCCGCAAGGTGTTCTACAAAAAGATTCTAAGACGTGAACTCGCTAAGTAGAAGTGCCATCAACTACACTTATTCGTTTTCAGAGGTTAGCCTACTTTAAGGCAAAATTGTAAGTTATGTGAATCTATGTACAGGTGTGAATTAGTGTTCAGTTCTATACGTCTCATTGAATGTCTTTTTTTGTAACTTTTTGCCGTAATGACCATAAATGAATATTTCCATGTGCGACGATAGTACTACATATGTAGTACTGAAAACGTTTAAAATTTCCTCTTAAATTGATTCTGACGATTAGTAATGCTAATAAATATGTTATTTATCATTCAATAATCTTTATTGCTTTATAGCCCATGAGCAACAACCCAACAGAACTGCCACCCATATTGCATAATAATCTGCACCACCAAGTATATAATTCTTCTCCCCTTTTTCTAAGAAAATTCTTAGAAATTCTCTGCATCACGCTTCCGCTCGACCGGTGAACTATAGACCCTTTGACTTTTCTTTCCTTAACATCGCATCGTTACAGCAGAAAAGGGTCATAAAATCCTATTTGCCTGTGGGATGTTTAAGGATGCGGGCCGCTATTCTTTCTAACAAGGTCCTGACGGTACTCGAGAACCTGGCTAAGCTCTCTGAGCGGTTCGAGCCGTCGTTGTTCCTTGTTATCCCGTGTTGCTGCGTTGAATGGCCGGTAATTGGGCCCGGGGGAACGTTCCTCTTGTGAGGATATCTGCGTCAAACTCCACTGTTAACGACACTATAGATAACGGCTTTTTTATGCGCTATTCTAAGGCCACAGCAAGTAATCTTTATGGATGACATCAGCGCGTGCGTTAATTTTCGCCTGATTTTGGGAAAAAAACGAGAAACCTTTTTGAGTAAAGAGACTCTTTTCTACACAACCAAGTCTTTT